CAAGGATATGATCGAGTCTTGCCTGCTGTGCATTTATAGGAAGCTCCTCTATAACACTCCTGCCAAATAGCCTCTGTTTGCATATCTGTGGTGAAGGAGAGCTCACCCCTTCCCCAGGCAACCTCTTTCATCTTTGGACAGGTGTTCTTGTTAGAAAGAGCTTTCTTGGATTGAGCTGAACTCTGCCCCCCTGCAGCTCCTCCTCCTTGACCCTGGTTCTGTCCTCAGGGCTCCATGGAGCCAAGCTCCCCACCCCCACCACCTCCCCAGTGCCTTCTGGAATCCAATGGCTACAGGTATTCCTGGCGGGGTGATGGGGGAGGGGAAGGCACTTCTCTCTGCACCTGCCCCACACCCTACCCATTAGACTTCCTTTGGCTTTGCCTGCATCACCTGGGCAGTATATAGTGTGTCTCCAAAGCCACCAGAGCAACTTCTTATGCCAGCCATTTTAGCACTCAACCATCCAAAGGAATCTTGTCTCCCCAGAACAGTTGCCTTGGAAGCCAGGCACTTGCCCTGCCTTTGGACTGTCTCCAAAAGTCACACCCTCCCTCCGAGGCAGAGGAATTGCCCTCCCTGAGGACAGCAATGTCCCTTCCACAGAGCCCCTTTGCCATGTGGTCCCCTCTCTTTGGGCACTGACCTGAGAGGCACTAGGGTGCAGGATGCCCTCTGGCTTGTGAGCACCTCGACAGCAGGGATCAGCCTGGGTCCTCTTTGCCACCCTCTCAGAGCCCAGCACCGAGTCTTATAAAGAGTTGTTGAATGGAGAAAGAAAATAACTGGTCTTGGAAGGCCAACCCCAAAGAGGAATTCCAGCAGAGTGCTGACCTCTGGCTTCCTCCTGGGAGACTGGAAGGGCCCTGGAGTCAGCTTCTCCCTCATCTGGGTGGTTTCCGAAGGGCACTTGGGGAGAAGCTTTGCACAGGGCTCTGGTGACAGGGCCTCTGTCACCATCCCTTCATGGGCCACACCAGCCAGAGCCTCTGGGCCCGAGGGGTCCCACCCACCATGGTGTGGGAACCGGCAACATTCAGGTCTTGAGTGTGTGTGCCCCGTGCACGGGGCTATGTTCCCATCATTTCAAGGGAGAAGCCAGAAGGGTGGGTGGCTTTTTCCAAGTCTGGCGTCTTTGGCAAAAACTACAAAAGAAGGTGCTTTCTCTTCTGGAGTAATAAACAAACACAACCACACTTGAGCTCATTAACCTTTGGGACCCATAGCTGAGTGCCTCCTGCCGCGGTGCAGGCTGGCTCTGCATGCGGGCACCCCTGAGGCAGGACTTTCCTAGTGGTGGAAAAACCAATCGCCCTCTCTCCCTCCCTTCCCCTCCCCTCCCCTCCCCCTCCCCCTTCATCCCCTTTCTCCTCCCCTCATCCCCTTCCCTTCTCTTCCTCCTCCCCCACCCCTTCCTCCTTCGCCTTCCTCCTTTTCCCCCCTCCTCCCCCTCCCGCTTCATCCCCTTTCTCCTCCCCCTCATTCCCTTCATTGTCCCCCTCCTCTTTCTCTTCCCCCTCCCTGAATGTGCTTTACAAAATAAGGCTTTGGATCCCTTCCCTGCCTTCCCACAGAAGCTTATTTCATTCGAGCGGCACAGTCAGATGCTCCCCTCCTGGGGGTCATGGAGGGGATCCAGGCACCTTGTGTGGGCATCTGTCTATGAGGCCTGCTGCTTACCTACCTGCCCTTCCGCTGAGCCACTGCCTCTCCCCCACCCACCCCTTCCAACTAGAGATTCCCTTTCGGCCAAGTGACGGAATCAAGAACGAGGCCATTCCTCCTCTGGGGTGATAAGGGGGAGGGGCCCAGGTGATGGCACTGGGGACAGGCAGGAGATAGGAGCAGGTGGTGACTGAGGAGGGGAGATGAGCCGGTGGCTGAGCCATGTGTTGAGCATCACTGTGCCGATAGACAGAGGCTTCTTGGCAGGGGTAGGGTTTGGGCTGGCATTAGTCCTTCCACCAGCCCCCAGAGACAGGCAGGGGCTCTGCAGCTTCCTGGGTGTCGGTGGGAAGCTGGCAGGAAGGCAGTTCCAGGACTGCCTGGGACCCATCTGTGAATGGGGCCCTTCATGGGGCTGGGAGGGGGTGGCAGAGGAAGAGGCTGGGGCCTAGTTCTCCGGGAGACCTCCTCCTGGACCCAGGCCCAGGCCCACAATAGTGGCCACCATGGGGCCTCCTCGATGCTGCCCTCTTGTCAGTGCCACCTGGCACAACAGGACCCGGTGCCATGACAGTTGCAGCCCCAGAAAGAGGAGTCACGTGATGACCGCCCCCATAACCGTGCGGATAGAAAGCCACACGTTGCCTGGGCCATCCTTCAGGAGAGGGGCTGAGCGTGAGTGGCCCATCACCAAGCAGCCACTTTCAGCCACTGTTTCCTCCTGGTCACTGAAAACATTGGTCATTTCCTGTTTTCTCCATTTTCCAACGATTTGAATTGTCAGTGTCAAAAGGCAACAACTGTTTTCTTGGGTCTTATCTTTGGAGCACATTGATTCAGAACAAAGGATGGAGCCTCCGGCTGCAAAACAAAGGAAGCGCCTCCTCGGGAGGGCTGCAGAGAATGCCCAGGACTGCAAGACCAGTCAGAGCACCAGTCTGGCCGTGGCACGGACGGCCCCGTGGGGTGAAGAGGCCAGGGAGGGCCTGGGCTGGATGGTGGTGGCACCCCGGGAACCCTGGGGCCCTGCAGGCCCAGCCACTACTGCTGCAGGCCAGGGGGCGAGGGTACCTTTGGGACTTAGGCGTTTCTGTCACGATCCTGCCGAGCAGACTGTCCCTTCAGTTTCAGACGCTGTGGATTTCGTCCCTCCTTGGATGAACACTCGCACTGTTGAGCAGCATGCTCCCTCGCTTTCATCCAGTGGGCCTGCCCAGTCCCTCCAGCCTGGGAATCCTGCCCCAATTGGCCTTGGGTGGGGTTGTGTTTTCTCCCCACATCCTTCCTGTTGGACTTCCCTGCCCTTCGTCAACTTTCTCTTTGGCCATGCTCTCGAGCCCCCCACCGCCACCCCTTACGACTGTGGTATTTGCTAAAATGAACAGGGCAGCTGGTGGGAACGGAGGCAGAGTCAGTGTAGAAGCTAGCAGGCCCCATGGAACTAGTCCCCAGAGGCAGCTGGCTGGCACTGCAGAAGCCCTGGGCCCGGAAGTAGGAGACATGGCGCTGCCTAGCCATGTGACTTTGGGCAAGTTGTGTAAGCTCTGTGAGCCTCAGCTGTCACATCAGTAAGCTGGGGACCTTCACTCTTCTGCCCCACCCTCCCAGGGCTGGTGTGAGGGTCAAAGAGAAGAACAGAAGCGAAGGGGCTGGGTCGAGGTGGAAGGGCTGCCTCCATACGCCCACCCCAGGGCAGTGGTCCATCCACCCAGAGCATCTCAGCAGCCCCTAGTGTCCCCCCACTTCCGGATGGTGTGGCCCATCATGGGTAACGCTGGGATGCCAGCGGTACCCATCTCAAAGGATGAAGGGACGTCATCAATGCCAAGTGCTTGGTACAGTGAAGTCTCATGAAGGCAACCCCCTAGTTCCCCGCCCAGGCAGAAGGCCACTCTGTGGGACTGCTGGGAAGCAGCTTGCCCCCCACCACCCACATCCCAGCAGCCCCAGAGCGGGGGTGGGAGGGGGAGCAGAACGAGGACAGGAAGCAGGCTAGGGGCGGGACGGAAAGTAACCCCGGGTCTGGTGAACTCGCTGCTGTTGTAGTCCCCCCAGTGGCATGTGTTTGTCCCCTCTGCCTTGGCAGGAACTGAGGCCGGGACGGCTGCCAGGCCCCTGCCGCCCCGCCCCTCCCACGCCAGCCCCGCTGGCTGGAAAACAGCCCTGCCCAGGCAGCCCGTTTCGCAGGCTCTTGTCTTCACGTCTTCTGGCATCTGGGGTGGCTCCAGCCAGAGAGCTGGCACAGGGGTCTGCTGCCTGACAGAGCTGCCTGGGTCAGGGGCACACTAAGGAGAAGGCTTCTTGGGATGGCCACAGGCCGGCAGAGATGGTGTGAGGCCGCAAGCACTGGACGGGGAGTCCAACCCCGTCCCAGGCCCACCCCAACTCTGAAGGCTTGCCCCAGGCCTTGGGGCCTTCATGGGATTCTCTCCCGGCCATGCCCTTCCCTGGGCCCCTCCCTCAGCTGACTCACGGCAGCCCAGGCTTGGCTCCTCCACCCGCCCTCCTGGCTGGCTTTGAGACTGCAGACAGGAAGCTCGTCCCAGTTGCCCCGCTCCAGCCAGTCAGGATGAAAGGAAGTTGCCGTGAGGGTTTGGTTGCTCCTGGTGTGGGAGAGTGCGGCCATCTGACTGTGGGATCGTCCACTATTCATGCCAGGATCACCAGGAACGCACTTCGGCCCTTTCCCCAAGACAGCCCTGCAGAGGCTGGGCACCCACCGCCACATCGCCCAGAGTCAGCTTGGCCCCAGCCCGGCGTCCCCACATGCTCAGCCAGTCCGCACCTGGGTGGTTTGGAGTCGAGTCCCTACCCCAGTTGCTTACTGTCTCCCAATGCAGCCAGCCGGTCTGGGTATCTGCCTGAGACTGGCATGCCCAGACTCCCATCGGGACTGTGGGCATGGTCTTACCAAGGCAGAGTAGCATAGGACTGTCACCTCCCTCCTTCTACATACTCTGCTTCTATTAATGCAACCTTATGTGACATTTGCTATCTTGGTGACCACATCTCACTGCTGACCCGTCCTGAGCGGACGGACATCCAAAACTGCCTAAATCTCTTTTCTCTGCACTCTCGCTACGAAGCTTTGTCTCCCCCTCCCCCATCCTATGCTGTTGCAGTTGGTGTTTTGAACCCAAGTGCAGACGCCTACTTTTATTTATACCTGTGGAATTTTGCTTGGGAGGGCGGGGCCTGCATGCGAGTGTGTGTTGGTGCGTTCACTCATGCTTTCTGCTCCACCAAAGCCAAGTCCTGGGTCCCCACACAGCGATCCCAAGGCTAATAGTGCGTGGTAACTGTTAGCTAATGTGGCTTTTTCGTTTTCTGTTTAGCCAGAGAAACAGAGAGCAGGTCTTACGGCAATGACCCCTGAACAGCGGAGTGCATATATAGCCCAACAGATGAGTCAATTTCAAGGTAAGCAGTGAAGGTCAATATTTCTGAAAGGGCAGGCAAGGGAGGGGTGCACATGTGTTGGGGTGAGGTAAGAATTTGTGTCAGAGTGACTAGTTAATGTTGGGGTGTCTTGATGCCCTGAGGGAGCGGGGGCAGTTCTGAGCATCAGTTCAGCTTCTGGTTAAATAGCACGGGGGTTGGAACTCACGCTGAAAGCAGTTCATCCCTTCCTGAGCACTTAAGTCGGATCCCAGGTGAAGGCCAGGTCTTCATGACTCAGAAATCACTGTTTCATTCAAGAGATTGATTAAGCAGAGTCGGACCCCTTAGCCACCACCCGTCTGTCAGGGTGTCATACTGTGATGGCCTGCATGTTGCTATGATGCAGGAAGCTATGCCCCTGGTATTTCAAATACCAGCAGGGTCACCCACAGTAGACAGGTTTCAGCGGAGCTTCCAGACTCAGACAGACTAGGAAGAAAGGCCTGGCGATCTGCTTCCAAACATTAGCCAATGAGAACCCTGTGGATCACAAGAGAACATTGTCCAATATAGTGCTGGAAGATGAGCCCCCTAGGTTGGAAGGCACTCGAAATACACAGTGGCCACAACAATGAACTAGAGAATGCCAGAGCTCAGGAAGATGGCTCAGAACTGGGCAACATTTCGTTCTGTTGTACGTGGGGTCGCCAGGCGTCAGAGCGGACTAACAACAACAGGCCCCTTAAAGTCGTTATTCTAAATGGGAGAGGAGTGTGTATTAGAATCACCTGGGGTGCCACGCCCCCAGGGTTCTACTCCTGCCCCCACCCGCACGCACACACACATGTATGAACGCACGCACGTTGCTGATGTGACCTTCCATTTCTCACGGGCGCCTGGGTCATCTCTCAAGCGTGTGGAATGAAAAGGAACTGCCGCAATTCTGCCTCTGCTGGGGCCGTCCATGGCCGCTCTCAATGTAATCAACCTTTACTAGCAGGGGATCCAGCAGTGAGCAGCAAAATGGGGCATGACCCTACCCGGGGAGCTCACGGACTAGCCAGGGAGACGTGTGGTAAGCCATCAGTACACACCGAGAGTACTCATGGGAGCGCCCAGCACTAGTCTGGGGGTAAGGGGAGGCTGCTCACCGCCGACACCTCGGAGACGTGGAGATGGGGGAAGGAAGGCAGGCGGTCAGCGTCTTCCTTGCAGCCGTTGCTCCTCCATTGTCATGTAGGAACCCCTGTGCGTTTGGGCCTGGAACTAGCCTGGCAGAGTTCCACAGGAGCTCGCGGACAAGTTGCAGGAGGGCTGATGGCCTCCAGGGGTCACCTTATGAGCTCGATTCCAGCCTAGTTGACAACAGGGACCGTGCTGTGATAATAGAGAAGAACCCGAATTGCAGTGTGGCGCATGGCCTCAGCGGCAGACAGACCAGGGCTTGAGTCCTCACTCCACCGCCTCCTACCTGGCCTCAGGCAAACACGGGCTGCTACCTGCCTCTGTTTCCTCACCCGGAAGTAGGGCGTTCACAAGGCCCTGCTCAGCTCTTTAAGAGGGACATCAGTGGTGCTGTGCATTGACAGTCGCCAACCTTCGGCGTTCGGAAGGCGTCTTCCTCAGGGAGGCCAGAACGTCCACTCGTGCATGTCAGCCTTTAGACAGGAACGCCAGTGCAGTCTGAGCCGGTAAACACTTTCTGAGCCCGAGATAGGGCTGGTGGAGCCCAGAGATGAACCAAGTACTGTCCTCCCTTGCTCACTCGAACCCGGCTCCTTGCTGGTGGAGGAGCTGAGGACGCCATGCCTCCTGAGACTGTGAGGCTGAACCGATCGGAGCCCTGGGGGGAGGTCTTACTGGCCGGGCTCCCTCCCCCCTCCCCTTCCTTCCTCCCTTCCATCGCACATGCCCATCTGTAGAGGGGTGAGCGGGCCGGGCCATGGAGAGAGTGCTGAGCACAGACACTGGCCGGCCGGAGCTTGCCATCAACCCCAACCCCAACCCCAACCCTAACCCTAACCCTAACCCTAACCCTAAAGGTGAACGACTAAGCTGGCATGTCAGCCCACCATGATGTACTCTGCCAGGTGTAGGGGCCCGGGGAGGGGCATTGGGAGGAGTCGGGCGCAGGGGCTGTGTCCATAGGAGCAAAGGTGGTGAGGATGGGGGTGAGGGTCAGTAGCTCCCCTCCAGCCACCGACACCCAAGACCAGGGTGCCTTTGGAACTGACCCTACTTCTCTCGTTCTGCAGCCGTCCAAGAACTAGTCACCTCCAAGTGCAGCCGGACCAAGGCAAGCCCCCAGCCCAGCCAGCCCCTGACACCATCCAGAACCCGGCTTCTTCAGAGCAATCTGAGTCCAGGAACGATCCCTCTCACCAGGCCCCCGCACCGGGGCACTATGGACGTGACCTCGCCGAATCCCAGCAAACAGCCAGCAATCATCATCTCCGGCCCCCAGTGTCCCCTGCCCCCACGGTCCAGCCAGCATGCACAGAGTCCCAAGGCAGCTCCCCCAGGAGTGCCCCTGCCCGGCTTCTGTCCCAGTCCCCTGGGCAGCCAGCACCTGAGTCCCCACCAGCTCCAACATCCCAGTGTGCCAAGAATGCCCAATGTGTTCAACAATGCCCCGTGGGCGGTGGTGGCAGCAACTGGGACTGCAGCGGTCTCAAGGGGACCAGCTCCGGGCCAAGTAGATAATAGCATTCTGCCACATTTTGATAGCAATTCCACCTTCACCAAGGCGCCCATGACAGCGCCTCTGGTCGCCCCGGCATTCCCACCACAGCAGAGAGTTGTGTCCCACAATCAGATGGCCTCGGGGGGCCCACCTAGCCAGAAGGCAGGTGCTGCCCTGGCCAACCGCAACTTCAGCCTGCTGGGCAGCCAGAGCCTCAGGCAGAGCCCGGTGCGGGGCCCCGTGCCGGTGCTGAGCGCCACCAAGTCCCTCCAGCAAGGCCTGGCCAGCTTCAGTCCCATGAGTCCTATCCAGGGCGTTGAGCCGCCAAGCTACGTGGCCGCCGCCGCTGCCACTGCTGCTGCCTCCGCCATTGCTGCCAGCCAGTCACCAGGTCCATCCAACAGAATGGGCCCCCCTGCTGAGCTGCCGCCCTATGATTCAGTGCCCCAGCTCCCACTCAACCATCTGATCTCGCCCCCTGACTGCAGTGAGGTGGATTTCATCGAAGCCCTCTTGAAAGGCCCCAGCGCGAGCCCAGATGAGGACTGGGTGTGCAACCTGAGGCTGATTGATGACATTTTGGAGCAGAATGCTGCTGCCCAAAATGCCACAGCCCAGAACGCTGGCCAGCCCACCCGGGAGGCCGGGGAGCTTTAAGTCTCCGCAGGACGCCCAGAGAAAGCCCCACGGTGAGTGATGTCACCCTGGGAATGACATGACCCCGTAGCAAATTCACAAGTGGCCCAGACCAGCCACGGTTGTTTTCTCCTTACAGTTGGAGTGGCATCAGCCCACGGCCACCCCTCTCTATACTTGTGACAAAATGAAAAGCTGGTGATTTTTCAAGCTACCTGTACATAGTTGAAAATTTTGTAAATTGTTTTCCTAAACATTAATGACAGAAGTATTTATACTTCATTTTGTGACTTTGTAAATAAAGTGACAGCATAGCTTTTGTTTCAGTAGAGTTGTGTTCATTATACATCGTTTTTTGTGTTTATTATACGTTGTTACAAATATGCAGACTGTCTTGTCAGCTCCAGTGATACCTTGTTCAGCCGGGAGGCTGAGGCGCTTCTGGTTCTGCCGTGGGAGATGTGGACGTGATCAAGAGATGTTGTGCAAAGTTACAAATGCCAAACAGAAAACCACTTGACCATTTATCTCCATTTTTGCTAAAATGCTATCACTTGGTGTGATTCTTGATCTCTTTTGCAAACCTTTCCGTCTCTGTTGGCTCTTTACCTGCTGAGTATATTCCGGCAGAAGCTGTGTGACCCTGAGGGCCCCCCAGAGGAAACTTACCAAGAAACTGGGATGTTCTTTTGATTTGGGAAGCAAGCCCACGAAGAGCTAGTGGGTGAGCTGAGGGCTGTCTGAGAGTCCGCCTTGAGGAATGACAGCGTGCTCCCGCCTTTATCCCTCGGACGAGAGATCGCCCCGTGCCGGCTCGTCTGCAGGTGTGCCTTTGGTGGCAAAGGTGCGCTGTTCCTGGTTTAAGGCCTTTGAGTATTTGTTTTGCTGTAAGACTGTGGTTTGGAGGAAAAAAAGTCTGTACACATTAATAGTTGTTTTGGGGTTTGTCTTTGATAGTTTCTGTCTGCAATTATCGTCATGTATATTTAAGTGTCTGTTATGGAAACCCCACAGCCACTGTCCTGTAAGCTTCTCTCAGTGTCCTGACTGTGTAATCACATTTTAATTGCCATGTTGTGTCCAGCTTTACATCTGAAATCTGGCATCTGTTTCAAGCCAGTGCGTTTTTCCTTCGTTCTGTAATAAACAGCCAAGAGAAATGTGCCTCAGTGGTTTCATTGGTCAAGGGCACACTCAGTACCGCCAAGCCCGAGTCTGCTAAGCCTGCTGGCCCTGGGGCTTCGCGAAGGCTACTCCACGTCTTGTGCATCCCAAAGAGACCCATGGGGCAAGGCGTGTCTGTCGCATGTGCTGCAGCAACAGAGGGCATGGGAGGCCACCAAGGTGGCTGTGCACTGGGGGTGGGGGGCGGAGGGACAGACACTTACCCAGACTCTGCCACCTTGATGGTGGCGTGAGGATTGATCCCGACACAATGCTGCTCAGGACTTGGGCAACTTGATACCTGTGTGTGGCCCCTGGAATCGGGGGTAATAACACAATGAGCCACAGGCGTGCGGCTCCACCGAGAGGGTGACAGAGCCGATTAAAGGTCCACCTTGTCCCAGGTCAGAGGGTGGCTGGCGGGGGGGTGGGGGGGAGACGATATGTTTGCTGCACAGGAAAACAAGGTCACCCACTTCACAAGGATAACCAGTAAGAGCTGGGGAAGCCACCAGGCAGCTGAGTGCCCCCCCTCCACCGTGCGTGGTCACAGGAGAGGAGGGTCTTCCTCTCGTCACCTCCCTTCCCACTGCCACTGGCCCAAAGCCCCAGGCTAAACCCAGCCCTGCTCATGGTGAGTCGTGGGACTCGGGGAGCTCAGGGCACCCTGGTGTGGGGGCAACGGGTGCAGGGGGAGGGCCCAAGTCCCCAGGATTTGTCTTCAAGTCCAGGACTGCAAGTGGCAGGGGCGTCGCTGCTCCAGTCTGCAACTTCCCCTACAACCCCTCCCCCTCCATGGAGTCCCGCCCCCATGGAGTCCCTTGCCACCCGATCCTAGCCAACCTGGAGGCCCCACCGCTGTCCTGTCCCCTCCCCTCCCCTCCCCTCCAGCATTGGCAGCAAACGGGTTTGCTGCTGGTTGTTCCCAGTTTAATTGGGGCCAGGACAACCGGGACACCTGTGCTCCTCACCTCGACGCCCCACCCCCTCCCAGCAAGAAAGTGGCTTTCACAGACCTTCATGGGAACAGGACTTATGGTCAAGTCTTAAGTCTTTGACACCCTGCAGCCTCAAGGTCAAGTGCTCTGTGGCTACTGGGACCCATAGTGCTCCCACAAGGTGGCCCGGACATGGTGGGCAGGTGGCAGGGGCTTGCAGATGGAACCACAAGTCCCAAAAGATAGAGAGGAATTTGGTTGGGACCCCCATCCCCCATGTGCTGTAAGGGTGCAGCTGAAGCAACAGATGGGATTAGGTACAGTCAAAATTGGGCACGTCACATTTGTCTCTAACTGGAAGTTTACACGCTCACTCCTCTAGGCTGGCAGGAGGCTCGCCTCACAGAGAAAGGCACAGGTGGTGAGGGAGGCCTCTCACCTCCCGCAGAGCCTAAACATGCTCTAAGAGCACCCCGCCCCCCGCCCCCCACACAACTCTCTCAGTGGCTGTGGCTCAGGGAAAGCAGGACAGGGACAAAAGCAGGCCTCCCCAGACCAGTGGGCAGAGCGGTCGTGGAAACAGTCATTACCCGGATGCCCCGGCCCTCGGCCCACCTGCTCACACAGGCCCTCCTGCCTCCTACAGTGTTCCTCTTGGGTCTGGGTCCCAGATGAATCCCACAGGTGTCCCTCAGATCCAGCTGTCACTCCCTGTCACGGTGTTGGCCTCTGTTCCTTCCCACCCCTTACAGGTAGCGTGTTCTCCGGGAGCCTCCCTATGAGCCAGCCTCATCACAGCCCCCCTCCCAATGTGTCCCTTGGCCTCAAGGTGCCAAAGCAGTGCCAGGTCCCAGGCAGGCCTTGGCTTCCCCTCAGCCCTGCCAGTGGGGCCTCCTCAGCCAGCCCGAGGGCCTCATGGGTCACAGCTGTCCTGTCCTCAGAGTCCCAAATAAAAGGGGAGCTTGGCCAACCCCACCCCCAGACCCCAGGCTGGCCTCACAGCCGCCAGCAGTCCTTTCTCTCCACTCTCAGTGATCCACCTCCTGTTCCTCCCAGTGATCTTTCTGTAAACCTAAAACTACTCTAAAAATAGTCTATTGAAAAAAAAAAATTTAGGAGAAAGGGATGTGGAAATAGAAATTGATGATTTTATGTTACATTGTTTAGATAAAACATAATTGCAACAAGGTAAATATTTTTCTGTTCCATACCAATTACCTTTCAATTTTCAGGACCAAATAAACATGTTTAAAAGAACCACCATTAAAATTTAATTATACTTCAAAAAAAAAAAAAAAAACTCATGCGGCAGAAGCCCCACTGTCTCGGACACCCAACCAAGTGCGAGCCCCCTCGTCCAGCTGCCTCTGCCGGCCCTGCCCACTCCAGCACCCTGCATCATCGCTCCAAGCCACCTGGCCCGCTCTTCCAAACCTCCCCTTGGGCAGGGGTGCCTGAAGAGGCCAAGTCCAGCTCCCTGCTTGAAATGAGGGGCTGGGGGAATGTAGGGAGAAGTCACGGCATGACACATACACATACACATATACACTCCAGCATGCGCTCACGTGATGATATTTCATAAAGGTTCTTGCCTCGTGCAGTCACACTATCTGCCCATCAGGCAGAGGGGACTCAAAACTGTTCCCTGCTGGGGTGGGGGCCAGGAGATTCTGCTTTAACTGCTGTGCACTTTTTAAACGGGGGTGCTTTGCCCCCTAGCAGGTTTAATTTGTTGGAGAATTACCTGGTCCCCATTTGAAAGGGGCTCAGGCTGGGCCTTCACGAAGCTGAGATGACATTGGGGCTGTTGACTTAGGCACAAGGCTTTGCAAAGCCCAGCTGTACAAGTCTTTGACACCAGCTCACCGTGCCTGGCCTTGGCGCCATCCCTCGGCCACCTCCAGCGGCATGGGCCAGCTCCATTTCTTTCCTTCTAAAATGGATGCTTCTCCCTCTCTAGCCCTTTCCTTCTGTATGGCCACTGGTGGAAGTTTCCCCATTAGACGATTGGGAGCCCCACCATGGCCGCTGATGCTGATGCTTCTGCTGGTTCTCTGTAAATTGAAATTTTCTGGTCATTGAAAATGCGAGGCGCATGGCACAGAGCCTCGTGGAAAGGCAGCAGCATTGCTTCTGTTCGCTGGGTCACTTTGCCTTTGCATTTGATAAATCAGTCTCCCCGCACTCGGTAACATGGCCCATGGTCAGCCGCAAATGAGAAAACATGTGGCCCTTTCAAAGAGTCATGCAGAGTCGCAAAGCCTGATCCTCCCTGAGTGCCTCCCGCCCAGAGCCCTGCCTCCTTCTGAGTGGCTGAGGCGGCAGAGCTCCTCTGGGGACAAACGGAACAGGCTTGGCACGCTGGCCACCCCGGCCTGCAAGCAGCAGTGGGAGGACTTGGCAAGTGTGGAGTCAGGCTGAAAGCAGAGGCTCAGTTGCCCCAGGGCCTCATGGGACTTGGACACAGCCTGTGGGATAAGGAGCAGGAGAGGGCAGCGGCTGAGCACTTGAGCTCTGGCGCCGGAGCCCCTGGGTTTAAATCACGGCTCCAACACTTGTTAACTATAGGACCTTTGGCAGGTCAGCAAACCACTTAGCCTCTCTGTGCCTCGGTTTCTCCATCTGCCAAATGGAGATAATAATAGTAACTATGCCTCATATTGGAGCCCTGGTGGCGCAGTGGTTAAGAGCTTGGCTGCTAACCAAAAGATCAGCAGTTGAAATCTACCAGCTGCTCCTTGGAAACCCTATGGGGCAGTTCTACTCTGTCCTATAGGGTCGCCATGAGTTGAAATCGACTCGACGCCAACGGGTTGGTTATACCTCATACGGCTGTGGTGAGGAATAAAAGAATCAATAGATTCCTTGAATGATTAAACACAGAGTTACCATATGACCCAGCAATTTCACTCCCAAGAG